CACACAATAAGCACCTCTTTGGGCCAGTGCATCCACTTGCAATGTGGTTCATCTGCTGGCATTTGAAACACCTGAGTGGTGCCATAACAAAAGGTCTCACTGGGTAACGCAGATAATCTATGTTGACTGCCTCAGTGAGTGGTGCCATAACAAACGGTCTCACTGAGTAACGCAGATAATCTATGTAGACTGCCTCAGGAAGTTGTCTGCCCTCAAACACCACCTTCACTGCACTTGACTCTGCCCGTATACCCTGACGATGGCGTGGAAGTCGTACAATTTCCTTAATCTTCACAGAGCCTGACTCAGCCAACTCCAGGAGTTCAGAGACTACCGAAGGGTGGATTGGACCAATCACTCCACTAATATAAGTGTCAGTACCAGGTTGAGAGCAAGAGACCTGCCAGGCTCCAACCTTTGTGACTTCAAGTAGAGTGCTCATGTCTGAATTAGAAATTGATGCAAACTCCACTGCCACCAGGTTTCTCCTCAAGTTTGTTCTCACCTTCATATGAGGGATTACAGGGAATCTGCCATAGGCAGAGTCTCTAAGGCCTCCAGCCAGCTTGACCAGATTTTGAAGGAATGTGCAAGCATTTAGACCAACTGGTTTGATTAGGACTGTGAGACGGTGACTCACTGAGACCCTTGCCTTGACTAAGGAGTGTTGCATTTGTAGAAATGTGAGCGTTTTTGTTTACAGGCACGTCACTAACGTAGAAGTTTCGTTCCCCAGAAGAAGAACCCGACAGGTTTGACAGCTTTTTGTTGACAGCTTTCGACCCTGACGGGTTTTATTCCCCAGAGAAGCTTAATTTCGACCCTATGGAGCGACAGGTTGACAGGTTTCGACCCTATTTCCCCAGAGAAACTGACAGGTTTTACAGGTTTCGACCCTATTCCCCAGAGAAACTGACAGGTTTTAAGATAATTCCCCAGAAAAAACGACCCTATTTCAAGATAATTTCCACAATTTTAAAGATAGAAACCTAGAATTTTAAAGATAATCTGACAATGGCATCAAGGTTAGGTTAGGTTAGGTCAGGTTCCATTATCTTTAAAAAACCTTATTAATGGAACTTGTTCCTAACTGGACCCCTGATGCTTCTCACCAATTAAAGATAATCGAAAATTATCTTAGACGTGTTTTTGCGTTTTTAAAGATAATCATTATCTTAGGAGAAAAATGAACCTGTCAGGTAAAATCAAGATCGACCCTATGCCCGACAGGTTCTTAACAAATTCCTATGGAAGAAATTCAATAACACTGCATTTACTTACCCCCACATGACAAGTGTCACCAGCCCCAGCAGGGTCTAAACCAGGAGAACTCTCCAGCTCTATCACATGGGGGTTAGAAGCGCGTTTGGCAACTCTCTTAGGATGTCGAAAGGCTTCAATGTCATCATCACTGCTGGCTACTGCGCTGGGATTGCGTTCCCGCTTCTTGCCTGCAGTGACAACCGAACCCAAAGTAGCACTTGCATCTTCCATCACAGCTATGTCTTCCTCTAAAAGATCAAAAGTAAGAGCTCTCACCTGGTTGATCACACCGTGATCTACTTCAAAATTAGCCGCCACTATGACAGGAGAAGCCAACCCTATCGCGTCTGCCATGGCAGCACACGCTCAGGGGCGGCAAACGAAAAAAAAGTAGCAAAAAAAAAGAAAAAAAATAATAAAAAAGGAAAACTAAATAGAACGTATGAATATGTGATTTGCTACAAATAAGGCTCACAAAAAACAATTATCGGATGTCAAGTCTCTTCAAATTATCAGGGAAAACGAACGATTGGCGTCGAGTACCCTAACAACCGAACAGCTATAGACACACCCGCAGAAGCGATGAAGCAGTTGTTTCAACTTGTTTGTTGCAGTGTTGCCAGGTTTTTCGTGGCGAGAATACCAGATTGCCTAGCTCAAAATACCAGGAATTCTTTTGTTCAAAAACCGACTAATACCTCCAAATTTAATGAAACTATTCGTCAGAAACGTTGGTTAAAAAAAATTACCTTATGTACTATGCATTTATCTGGCTTGACGACATTTAGCCAAATTGAACGTTATATTTTTTCCCTCTGTTTGGAACATTTCGACACTTTTCATTTCCTTTGTTTGATTATACTGACACTTTTTTCATTTTTTTTACCATAGTGTGGCACTCCTTCCCCTTCGTTCAACATAAACAAGCGACGGAAACGGGTCATCTACCTTTTGCTTATTTTTGTACATGCTTGCATATTGCATTAATCTAACATTTTGGGTTTGATCACTTGTTGCGGCTGAGCAAATAGCTTTTGGTCCTAACAAGGGACTCCAGAACCATAGTTGAAATTTTATTTCGTTGCTTGTTTTTCACATAGGTGACTAGTGAAAACACTCGCTCCACGAATGCATTGGAGTAGACCTGTGACGGTCAAAGTAGACCTGTGATGCAGTAGGCATCCTGTTCCACGAATGGATGATGATTTTCAAGGGGAGGGCAGGCGTGGGTAACAAAATTGACTCGTAAACAGGCCCTGGGCCCAACGCCAAACATCAGCATGCAATATCCACACATAGCCTCAGATCAATGAGCTGTGGGTAACTCCGGCTAACAGTAAATCCGCTTTGCACAACACATCCACTGCTCCACAGAGCCGGAACCCAACTGGCCGGAGCGCAACAGGCGGCGCAGGTTAGGTTAAGTTACGTTACGAGTAGCTGTTGCGGTAGGGCCTGCAGCGCTCCGGCCAGTTGGGCTCCGGCCTGTATGCGCTCCAGCCTGTGACTGAACGGCGCTGTTGTGGTGGGCGCTTTGTGTCAAAAGCCGTGAAGATGCCCGGCTGCGTTACGCTCGGGAAGGTATATGAATAGCACTGTGGACTTGGGCTATGCTGACCTCTAGCATTAGCTATCCACCCATTTTCAAGATCAGTGAAATATTGAATGGCACCCTAGAATTCAAGTGGCACTCTGGAATTCAAAACCGCTAAACAAAAATGGTGGAGTTTGCGTCGCAGCGATCGGTTCGACAATGTCACTCGTCCTAGGCCACATCATCACTGATCAGTAATCAATCAAGGATCATCACTCTCGTGCTTATATTGCACTAAGCATTTTTGTTAAATGTTAACAATTAGATTGGGGTTATTTTATCAAGCGGTAAACTTGTGGTTCCAAAAATGGCGGGAAACCTCTAGTCGCGCCGCTCTGAAGGTAATTACGTATATAATCCACGACTACGCTGGAGGAAGTTCAAACTTCAGAGGTGAAACTTAACAGTAAATTTGCAGTAAGTCAGAAATTACCAGAAAAATACCATATTTAGGCAAATATACCAGATCTAAAATATTCATACGAGACACCTCAAAATACCAGATTTGTGAAATCTGGTATAGAAATATACCATCTGGCAACGCTTGTTTGTTGCTGTCGTGCGCCCGAATCCAGAGTTTGGAAACGTTGTGTGGTCACCAAGATTTTAAAAGGACAAAAATTTAATAGAGATTGCTCAAAGATTTGCAACATTTTTAGCAACAAAGATAATTCTAGGCTTGAAGGACAAGTCCTATGAAGAAAGATTAAAAGATTATGAAGCTTCCAAGCCTCAGTTATCGACGTCTGCGTGGGGGTCCTCATTGAAGTATACAAGTATACTCATGGTTTATACAACGTCCCCGAATGATTACTGGAATTTGAAACATGAACCAACACCAAGGGCCACGGCTATAAACTAAAAAAACTGCGCTGCAACTTATCCACGCGACAACATTTCTTCCCGCTTCGAATCACAGACATGTGGAACAGCCTCCCCGGAAAAGTCGTTGGTGCACTGAGTATGAACGCGTTCAAGAACAGACTAGATAAAGCTATGGAAAAATATATGTTCAGACTTGAAATGCCTAGCACCAAATCGAACCCGGTGGAAGTCTAGTAGCTATTTCGAACTATCGTCAGTCCTGAAAAGATCCGGTCAAATGACACGATTTTAGATCTTCTGTGAACAAGGCACGAAAAGTAAGAATCGGCGACAGGCCACATCAGGCCTACACTTCATCGCCGACATCGCTGTTATGTTATGTTAAGATAACTTTCGAGAAATAATTCACGAGAGGAACTTAAAAACTTTGGAATAGTTCTGCATAAAACGAGACATCGATTATACCACAATAGATTTTTCTTTTATTCGAGTCGCGCACGTGTTATACAATGATAAATTATTTCTTAAAACACCATGGCAAACGTAGATCACCCTGTTTGGGTACATATTGTTTAATGCGTCATTAAACTTTCACGTTNTGTTCCTCGCTAGCTCTAGTTTTTCATATCCCAGGATATCCGACACTGGTTTCACGATTTATTTTGGTGAGTTTATGGAGTTATATCGTAGTTTCCCATGTTTATGGTAAATTCGATCAAAAAGATACAGTGACAAGAATAAGAGAGCACTGGCCTATGCGGCATTGATCGCTAAGTGCAAAGAATTTGATTATACAGCCTACAAAGACTTTGTGACGAAGAAAATAAACTCTTTATCGAAAAGAATGTGCCACAATGAAGTCGTCAAAGCTGTCTGGTACTAGTAGGAATGCTGTCTAATCAACCCTCACTGTGGTATTTTTTAAAACCATTTTCGGGACCACCGCGTACGTTTGCATCGCTTTAACCTAATTATGGTGGCACAAACTGCGCTCACTAGCTGCAGCGAGCATTCCATTACAATCCATTCCAATTCCTCCATTGCCGCGAACGCACTAAAAACTGCAGGAAAGTTTGAGCGTGTGGACGCTCTTGAGGCTTCCGTCAAAATCGGTCAAACCTGGCATGACATGCAAGACTGACAATAAGTTTGAACGTATGGACGGGGCTTAAGTCCTCAGGTGATGACCAGACTTTTGAAATTGCAGGAAAATTTGTGTTCTATTCCGTATGTATGTACCATATAATTACTAATACAACACTCGTTATGGGAATGTCATTCACTATTTATTTTTTATTATGTTTGCGGATTTGTGTACTTAGGCTCGGCAGCAGTGCCTGATGAGCTTTACAGTCAGGAACATAAAGCCTGCCACCGACCCCAACAGCGTTGTCGTCAGCAGCAACCATACGTCCACGTTGTACACCTCGTACCTGCCGCACATAGTGACTGTAGACATTACGTTTATCATGAACTTTAGGACTAATAGTGTTTATAAATTCTAGATGTATTAATGCGTAGTTTAGGTGGGAGCGCAGCCGTGGGTAACAAAATTGACTCGTAAACAGGCCCTGGGCCCAACGCTAACCATCAGCATGCAATATCTACACATAGCCTCGGATCAATGAGCTGTGGGTAACTCCGGCTAACAGTAAATCCGCTTTGCACAACACAGCCACTGCTTCACCGCGCCGGAGCGCAACAGGCCTTACCGCAACAGGCGGCGCAGGTTAGGTTAAGTTAGGTTAGGTTACGTTAGGAGTAGCTGTTGCGGTAGGACCTGTTGCGCTCCGGCCTGTATGCGTGAAAAGCATCAAAATTTGCAACAATTTCGACCCAACAGAAAAGTTGATTAATGCTCCTACTTTTTCTTGTAAAATTTTTGCGTGAGTGTGAATAAAATTTAAGGTAAAAGATTTTTCACTACCATTGTAGATCCTTGATGGGAGAGCGCAGGTGTGGCGCCCCCCGGTGGCGGATGACGTACTGAGTCCAGTACGCGACGGTCTCCTGAGGAGACAGCGGCTGGTCTCGCATCAGCATGGAGCGTTGCCGCACTGCCTTCTCGTATCTTTAGTAATTAAAGGTATAGAGTGTAAGTTTCTGTAGAGATAAAATGTGTGCTAGGTCTACTATTGGACTAAATCAAGAAAGTTTATTGTTACCACAAATACGAAATTGTCGCCTCTCACTTGTCATCACTAAGCATCTTGACGATAGTTCTTTTAAGCCATTCTTCAGATAGATCATCCCATTGGATGGTCTCTGCAATGCCGTCAGCTGTAGACTTGTGCATGTTGGTGGCCTGGTCGGCGAAGAGTGGGATACCCAGCATAGGCACGGCGTGGTACGTTGTCTCGAACGTGCTGAACAGACCTCCATGACTGATGAACAGACGCACTCCGGGATGACCTGTGGCATGGTTGAATTAACTGCGCGCGGCTGGAACATTAACTAATCTAATGTCATTCTGAAATTTATTTAAATTATGCAGGTGAACTGAATTAGTAAAGCTTTATAATTAAAATATTCCATTAAATATTAACACCTAATGGAAAAAGTTAATCAGTACAGATATCTAATTATTCGCTACCTAAGTTAACGCAGGTATTCATTACAAAATTATTCTAACTATGCTCTTATTAACTGCTGTTTAATTAGAGTGGCTAAGAGTCAATTTAGTCACCGAGGATGTCTTGCTGTGGCAGCCACTTGGCTAGTTTAACGTTAGATGGTTTTCCCGCCATGGTATCTTCGTGCCACTTCCAGATCNGATATAATGTTAGGTCTTGTTTAGGTTTTATGTCTGTCTTTGAATTTTGACTTTTAAAGTGATTTTATTCATTTTTAGTTTAGTCGAACTGATGATGGAGCTGGACTCCGAAACGTTTTCAATATCGATATGGTGAATTTTCTTGGCGTTTTCTTTGCTTTTAAATTCCTTATTGAAGTTAAAGTTTAACATTCTCACAGTGGAAGATATCTGTAGTTGAACATGGCCACGCTGAAGAGGGAGCTGATGGAGTTGAGAAATCGTTCAATGAAGTTCATGGGGTGGGTCATGGGGAGACCCATCATGGGTACGAACGAAGGGAAGTCTACGTTGCCAACCACCTCATGGAGGTACGTAAACATCACGTTGGGGCTCATGATAATTACTGGTACCTGAAGTATTGGAACATGAAGGTACGTGAACATGACGTTATGCTCATGATAATTACTGGTACCTGGAGTATAGAACATGAAGGTACGTCAACCTGACGTTGGAGCTCATGATAATTACTGGTACCTGAAGTATAGAACATGAAGGTACGTGAACATGACGTTGGGGCTCATGATACAGGGTGAACCAGAATTAAGTAACCCTTTTAATTTGTTAATGAATAAAAAACTAAGAACGTTATGAAGTTGAAACTTGTTTTATTTAAAAGAAGAACATTTTTATTGTTCCTACAAGCTTTGCAAGTGATCTAACGCAGTTTGATACATCACTTGATAGCTTCAAGAAAGCTCTCGGATTTATTTCTGCCTGATGGATCTCTTTACTTCCCGAAATTGAGGTGTCGATAACTCTCCGGTAGTTCGGTAACAGGGTCGTGTTGACAGAAGTGGAAGCGAGGTGAGGTTAGATTGTGTGACGGGTCATTATTGTAGCTGCTCGTTGTGTACTCTGTTGCTATGTACAACTCTAACGGAGGATGTGCAAGGAGTGTAATTAGGGTTGGAGGAAGGGAATCAATGAGGCTTGGAATGGATGGCACTGCCTCGTGAGATTTGAGGTGCTGTTTCCGAGACTTTAATGTCTGTCGTTGAGTCGGCCAGTCGGGAATTCGTGATGTTGGTTTAGGGAGTGTGTCATCAAACATGTAGACGCTCCCTGAACAGACATCCCGTATATATAATATACCTTCTGATATCCACGGAGACATCAACAATTAATTACATCAATCACGTGCGTATTTGTTGTAATCTGGACATTGTAGATTGAATGCTATTCTTGGTGTCAATTATAATGGTGATCTGGTTTTTATGGAAGTTAAGGGGTCAGTATAAAAGTTGGCATTTGATTACAAAGGCGGAACTGGTGTGTTTTTATTGCAGCTGTAGACGCTGGAATCGATCATCTTGAGTGAGGCGATGTTATCTGTGACAGCTGTGGTTGATGAGTATGTGACAGCTGTGGTCATATACTCATGTGTGACAGCTGTGGTCTAGTTAAACTGCAAGCATGCCAGTTTCGTACAGTATGCCTTAATATTTTTATTGGGGACTGGTGGTCATTGAGAGGGCAGATCCGTGGGTGGTTGTTTTTAAGGGCTGCTGGAATTTTGCTTAGTCTGGAACTTTAGAGTACGAATGAATAATAGATAATAGATGAATAATAATAGAATAATAATTTTATATATGTTAAGACTTGAAATGCCTGGCACCATATCGAACCCGGTGGAAGTCTAGTAGCTATTACAAACTATCGTCCGTTTGGTAGAGATCCGGTCAATGGACCTGTTTTTAGAATTTAGATATTTGAAAAAGTCATGAAAAGTACAATAATCGGCGACAGGCCACATCAGGCATACTCTTCAGTGCCGACATCACTGTGTTTTTGTATGTTAATAGTATTATTGACCATCAAAACACGTGTCAGTATTAACGGAACCGTGTCAGACTGGCATCAGTCCGCAGTGGCGTGCCACAAGGAAGCGTTTTTGGGCCTATTTTGTTACTTGCTTTTATAAATGATCTACCAGATGTAGTGTCCAGCGTTTGCTCCATGTATGCCGACGACACAAAAGTTTATAATACAGTGAAGGATGCGTCAAGTACAGCGCAATTGCAAGATGCTCTTGACAGTTTAGTTAACTGAGCTGATACGTGGCAGCTGCGGTGTGATGCTGACTAGTGTAAAGTACTTCATCTCGGGAAGAACAATGAACAGCAAGATTACAGTATGAGAAGACATGGTTGCAACGAGAGAGTAATGGTTGAAAAGTCTAGTGTGGAAAAAAGATCTCGGGAGTTTATGTCGACAAGGAGCTGAAAATTATTAAGCATGTGGAAACGCAAGCCAATACATCCAAGAAACTTCTTGGACTAATCAGACGCTCTTACGAGTTCCTAGATGCAGAAGCAATGAAGCAGTTGTTTGTTGCCAGTCGTGCGCCCGAATCTAGAGTTTGGAAACGTTCTGTGGTCACCAAGATTTGAAAAGGACAAAAATTTAGTGGAGAATGTTCAAAGACGTGCATCAAGGATAATTCCAGGCTTGAAGGATAAGTCCTATGAAGAAAGATTTAGATTGTGAAGCTTCCAAGCCTCAGTTATCGACGTTTGCGTGGGGACCTCGTTGAAGTATACTCATGGTTTATACAGGGTCCCCGAAGTATTACTAGAATTTGAAACAAGAACCAACACCAAGGGCCACGGCTATGAACTAAAAAAACTGCGCTGCAACTTATCCACGCGACAACATTTCTTCCCGCTTCGAATCATAGACATGTGGAACAACCTCCCCGGAAAAGTAGTTGGTGCACCGAGTATGATCGCGTTCAAGAACAGACTAGGTAACAACTATGGAAAAATATACAGTGGGGGGAAATAAATATTCGTACACTTGAAAAATCGTATTTTAATGTATGTAAGTACACAAATTGAACAGGAGAAGTGATTTATATTATGTATAGAGGCGCATTGTATTCAAAAATAGCATCAATAGAAATTAAATCTCAATGCAACAAAAATTAAATATCAATGCAACAAAAATTAATGCAACATGTTAACTTCTTCGGGTCAAAAAAGTATTCGTACAAAACAACTTTTGACTAATATTTCACACCAGAACATTCCAGAATGTACTAGCTGTCTCTTATACACATCTAGATGTGTATAAGAGACAGGTGTTATACAATGATAAATTATTTCTTAAAGCACCCTGGCAAACGTAAATCACCCTGTTTGGGTATATATTGTTTAATGCGTCATTAAACTTTCACGTTTTCCTACATACCAACGCTGACAAGTTCTTCTGTAGGTGCAGACGCTAACGGGCGAATCTTCTCTTTACATCTGCTTCTGATTGTGGCCTTGTACACATGATGATGCGTTCGTTCTCCAAGACATATCCGCAACGGCTAATGCTTATTAGTCCACCCTGAAATTCCAAGCTGGCTGTGGTTTTCTATGGGATTCCTTAACTAAAATGGTTCCAGCTAATTCCACTCGTAAATGAGGCAAGTCCCAAAACCTAGACGTACTATCATCCGCTGATACGCTTCTCACTTTGAACTCATTGCTTGGATCTGTTGCCATAACCTTATCATTGTATTGTTCATGTTAAATTTGAAATAGTTTATTAATATTACCATATTACAGTGATTTCATTACTAGTAACTAAGGAATTGATGGTAAATCGCAGCTATATATAATATGAACGCGTTCAATAACAGACTAGAATCACTAGATAAAGCCATGGAAAAATATATATTCAAACTTGAAATGCCTAGCACCATATTTAACCTGGTGGAAGTCTAGTAAATATTTCAAACTATCGTCAGTTTCGAAGATCCGGCCAAACGACGTGTTTTTAGATCTCCAGTGAACAAGTAACGAAAAGTACAAGACTCGGCGACACGCCACATCAGGCCTATTCTTCAGCGCCGACATCACTATGATATGATATGCTTGGAAATTCGTGGCGGACTCATCCTATGAAGCTTGCGGTATATTCCTTCCTTGCAGACTTTAGCTACGAGTTACATTTTTATAGATGTGATTATAAAAATATGTCATACTGTCTGGTGCCACCTCAAAAATCAAGACAAATCTTTAAACAGTAGTTATTTGTCTTAGAATAGAATAGAAGTGTCGCCACTGAAGAAATAGGCCCATGGCCTGTTGCCAATTTTTGTACTTTTGAGGATCGGCTTTTGGAACTCGATCTTTCCATAACTGACGATTGAGTGAGATAGCTGCTGGACTTATTGCCTGGTCCGTAAAGGCCCGTTCACACTAGGGGCAACACACGAGAATCAAGTGCCTCAAAGCGCATGCAGAGGCGCATTGCAGCCTCTGCATGCGCTTCTTGCATGACCGATTGACGAGCTAGCGATTGACAGGGGCCATGCCTCATGCAACACAAGCGCGGCGCTTAGTAGATAGCTATTAAAGAATTGATATCACTTGTATGCTTAAATCGCAAATTAACTAAGAATTTAAATTAAATTAAAAATTTAAATCAAATTAAAAATCTTAATTAATATTTAAGTAAGTAAAGGAATTCAATTCGTTCTATGGTTTCAATGTATTAATTTGTGACTTCTGATTTGTGATTCTAGATTCTACGAACTGAAGATGGAGCTGGTCTCCGAAACGTTTTCTATAAAGATATGAATTTTTGTGGACTATTCTTTGCTTTTAAATTCTTAGTAGATAGCTGTCTAGCTGTGGTCTAGTTAGGTTGATTGTGTACGCTGGTCCGGCACACCAAATGTCGATTAACATCACTCTCGTTTGGAGTCATTCTCTAGTAGAGAGCCTAATTGATTTTTAAAGAGAAAATGAATGCATATGGAGTGTTCGGTCATAGGAGTACAAAAATCGAAATGCAAATGATGTAAGTTATTTTCACATAACGTGTTTAGTTTATGTGATTTTAGCAACTCCTGACAATTTATGCATTAACGTTTAGCGATTTCAAAGGATGATATAATATCGGTACGAATATTGGAACTTTTTATTTAAGAATAGACTATATTTTTTATAAACTGTATCTTTTTGAATGTGCTAGTTCTCTAATTATGATGCCTATGCCAAATTCTCGTTTACAACTGGCATAGTGCGAAGAATGACAGACCGCAGCACACCCGAGATCAATGGCCCGCAGCTCACATTCGGTGACATCCATCCTCATTGACGTCTAGGTGGCAACTGGTGTTCAAAGCGCGCGGTCTCAAACGACAGAGTACAAAAGTAGTGTGAACGGTTGTGCGCGGTGAGGCACTGCAGCAAACGACTCAAAGCGCATGTCGTTGCCACTAGTGTAAACGGGCCTTAAGGTGCTAGGCATTTTAAGACTGAACATATGCATCTGCATAGCTTCGTCTAGTGTCTAGTCTGTTGTTGAAGGCGTTAAAATTTAACGCTCCGACTATTTAATTACCGGTTAAATATTCGGAGCGTCACCGATGCTATCAGCAAGGCTGTTTTCTTCTAAGTCTTCAGGTGATGATCAGACTTTCGAAATTGCAGGAAAATTTGTGTTCTATTCCGTATGTATGAATCATATAATTACTAATACAACACTCTTTATGGGAATGTGCCTGTGACTGAACTGCGCTGTTGTGGTGGGCGCTTTGTGTCAAAAGCCGTGAAGATGCCCGGCTGCGTTACGCTTGGGAAGGTATATGAATCGCACTATGGACTTGTGCTATGCTAGCTATCCACCAGTTAAGGAAACAAGATTGTACTCTATGGTTACCCGGACTCGTTATAATGCTCAACGCAGGGAAAAAGCATGAAAATTTGCAACAATTTCGACCCAACAGAAAAGTTGATTAATGCTCCTACTTTTTCTTGTAAAATTTTTGCATGAGTGTGAATAGCATTTAAAGTGAAAGATTTATCACTACCATGGTAGATCCTTGATGGGAGAGCGCAGGTGTGGCGCCCCCCGGTGTCGGATGACGTACTGAGTCCAGTACGCGACGGTCTCCTGAGGCGACAGCGGCTGGTCTCGCATCAGCAAGGAGCGTTGCCGCACGGCCTTCTCGTATCTTTAGTATTAAAGGTATAGAGTGTAAGTTTCTGTAGAGATAAAATGTGCGCTAGGTCTACTATTGGACTAAATTAAGAAAGTTTATTGTTAACACAAATACGAAATTGTCGCCTCTCACTTGTCATCACTAAGCATCTTGACGATAGTTCTTTTAAGCAATTCTTCAGATAGATCATCCCATTGGATGGTCTCTGCAATGCCGTCAGCTGTAGACTTGTGCATGTTGGTGGCCTGGTCGGCGAAGAGTGGGATACCCAGCATAGGCACGGCGTGGTACGTTGTCTCGAACGTGCTGAACAGACCTCCATGACTGATGAACAGACGCACTCCGGGATGACCTGTGGCATGGTTGAATTAACTGCGCGCGGCTGGAACATTAACTAATCTAATGTCATTCTGAAATTTATTTAAATTATGCAGGTGAACTGAATTAGTAAAGCTTTATAATTAAAATATTCCATTAAATATTAACACCTAATGGAAAAAGTTAATCAGTACAGATATCTAATTATTCGCACCCTAAGTTAACTCAGGTATTCATTACAAAATTATTCTAACTATGCTCTTATTAACTGCTGTTTAATTGGAGTGGTTAAGAGTCATTTTAGTCACCGAGGATGTCTTGCTGTGGCAGCCACTTGGCTAGTTTAACGTTCGATGGTTTTCCCGCCATGGTACCTTCGTGCCACTTCCAGATCACTCGCTGCGGTAAACTTGAGAACACATTTACGAACACTTCTCGATAACTGAGGGGAAAATAAATAAATATTTTATTGAGTGAGTTAAAATTTTAATGAATCTGCCATGGGTTACAACTAACGCAAAAAATTCGCGAACATTTAGCCAAATTGTGATATAGTATGATGATTAAATATCTGAAATCTTACGAACAAATGGACATTCAATACGCTTTAAGTTCTAACGTTTGAGATTGGAAAAATGCGAGGATATCGACGTAACTGATAATATACCTTTAACACTGGAGACAATTAAATTTTATGTACTAGTAAAATGATGGGGTTCTAAGTTTACTTCTCAAGTTCGAGATTATGTTTGATAATTTAGAATGATATCTAACGTGTCTGGCATGTCCTTGGGTTGAACTGCCGAGCCGAGGCTGAAGTAGATGGTGCCCGCATCCCCAGAGCCTTCAATCCAATTCGCGAGATCCTAATAACGAGCAGGAACATGCCACATCACAAACTGCGAGTAGGCTATAATGAATCAGTTAACAGTATTCTGCTGTCATTTGCTTCCCGTTGTAATTGGAAACTAGATTCAACAATTGTTTGGTCGCAGTGATGCAACCCTCTTCCTGCGGAGGCAGCCTCGTTTAAATATTGTTTGGTCATTTGCCCTCTTTACTACCCACCCCATGTGGGCGAGTATCAAATTCACATGAGATTAACGCGTGATATTCATCGTCATGATATTCCTCAATTTCACAAAGCTAACTATAAATGTAAGAAATGCCTGCAATATATGAAATAAATAAACGATAATGATATAAAAGAATGTAAATATTTTTTCTATTGTAGAGTGGAATTGTTTTAGTTAGGTTATAATATAATTGATGGGGTTCTACCGCGGGTAAGGGCTTGGCTGCGCGGCAGTTGAGACCGCCGGCGTGGACGACTGCAGGCACGTACGGTCGCACTGGTGTCTCCAAAGATTGAACGCTGGAAAATAATTGCTATTGAGTTTGTTGAATAAAAATTACTTTAAAGTTTTACATATAAACTACTTAAATATAAAGCCATTTTAATTGAAAATTCAGAAAAGCCGTGGGTTTTAGAATGAAGTAAGTATTGCAATATTTAGATCTGATCCACAGAGATATCGGTTGGTCGACACCACATCAGACTGACTTGTTAATGAAAGTCATCGCAGATCTTCTGGTAATATCTTGCAGAGGTGACATTTCGGGGGCGCAAACACCTGCTTCTTTGCATGCCTCTTCAACACTGTTGAGGCAAGATCACTTACAATCTAATTAAATGTCAATGTAATTACATAATTACTTAACTACAAAATGGAAATTCTTAATGCAGGGTAGAAAAATTTTTTTTGGCATTTTAATGTCTCATTGTAACGTAATGAATATCATCTTTCAACACACTACTAATAAATTACCGACTAAATTTCATTAGCGTCTTAAATAAACACCTCATTTGCGGCATTAATATTATTTTCCCGGATCATTTACCAAAGAACCATTTGGATTGTTTTTGAGGATTCGTGCTACGTAATAATTTGAATATGGGCTAAAATATTGAAGTTAAATACTTATATCATCAGTCTGCTTATATCGCAAGTTCACAAGGAATTTAAAAGCAAAGAAAACGCCAAGAAAATTCACCATATCGATATTGAAAACGTTTTCTCATGATAATTACTGGTACCTGAAGTATAGAACATGAAGGTACGTGAACATGACGTTGGGGCTCATGATAATTACTGGTACCTGAAGTATAGAACATGAAGGTACGTGAACATGACGTTGGGACTCATGATAATTACTGCAACCTGAAGTATAGAACATTAAAGTACGTGAACATGTTGTTGGAGTGCAAAAAAAATTCAGGAACATTAAAGAAGAAATTACCACACTACTTACAAGATGTAGTGAATAATTGTTGAAAAAATTGGAAGCATGGTTCGGGGTTTAAAGGCAAATCTATAACTTTCGAGTGAACAAGTCTGGGGACCGCCTTCTGAGCATGAAATATGAAAACCTACAAAGTTACCAGGTTTAGACCGACAAAAAAGCTTTCGATTATCGTCAGGCATCGGCTTAACATTCTTCAAATATGTCAGTTTATGATGGCTGGGTGCACGATCATGAAAATCCTCAAAAAAATGCAGCACTGGAAAACCCGCATCTGAATCAAACAATGATTACTATTATTCCCGTTGAATAATAGTGTACCTATATATTCAGCAGGTATCCACAATATATCACTGATACTAAGCGCCCCCGCTCTTTGTTACTTTGTAGTTGGTAAATTGTATAGGCTCGACGCTCTGAAAATGTTCTTCAAACATCCTTACTTTATTATGACAAAATCAACTTCTATTTGATGATAGATAACTATGATGTTATTCTACTCAAGTTTTTGTTTAGCAATCGATGAAATGTACTTGGGATGTGTGAACAGTCATACACATGGCTATCAGTCACTCACATCAGACTTATCGAGGAGTCCAAAGAAGCAGTCGCTGAGGAACACTGTGATAAATACCAAGTCGTAATCGTCAACATTAATGCTTTGAACTTGTTTCCCGCCCATCACTTGTGCGCAAAGCTTGGGAGCTTTGCTAAACATGATCATGCCCGTCCTCCAGGAGCGGTGCTCGAATGTGTTGGGGAAGATCTGCTCCGCGTCGAAGTCGACGGCGATCTCGGTGATGTTTGGGTGATTAATGCCAGGCATGGCCGTGACGGTCGTGACCTGTTGTAACAGGAGATATGAGGCACTAATGTTGGTTTGTGACCTGTTGTAACAGGAGACATGAGGCACTAATGTTGGTTTGTGACGGTCGTGACCTGTTGTAACAGGAGACATATGATGCACTAATGTTAGTTTATGACCTGTTGTAACAGGAGACATATGATGCACTAATGTTAGTTTGTGACCTGTTGTAACAGGAGACATATGCACTAATGTTAGTTTGTGACGGTCGTGACCTGTTGTAACAGGAGATTCTGCCCGCGGACCCGGTTTCAATTCATAAGCCCATGTCAGTGGGTCCCCGGATATATTATCTTTAAACCATTCATACTCGCTCAATTTTTTCCTACTCATCAGTGCTACTAACGTGGCATCTAACGCGACAGCTAACGTGGAAGTTTTTGTTTCTAACTCAGCATTGCATTCGAATATCTTAAATATTTAAAAACAATGATGCTAAGAAAGTTACGCGAAATTAAAAATTCAGACGAACCAAGATGTTTGTTTGTCTTAACAATTATTTTGGTGATTTGTTTATCCTCATATATATTTATGTGATTTTTATACGAGGATATGCACTCTAGAGTCTGCATTTTCATGACCTCAATTATTTCTGTAAAATATTGATACTGTGTTCTACATTGATGTTCAGTACTGAATTCTATCCATAATTCATTGAAATTATTTTTGTAGCCGACTGTTTCTAATAAATTTGCTCAGTTTCTGTTAAAGTTAAAGACATGTATATTTTACAGTAAAACAGTAATTTCAATTACATAGTAACTTCAAGATTACCTGATGTCCATGGACCGCCAAAGTTCTTGCGATGGAGCCGAAGAATTGCCAGTGACTCGTGGTGGCCAGCGGTGCGAGGACGAGTAGCTTGCTGCCGTGACTGCCCTGCCAGCAGCACAGCAGCGTCACCAGCTGTACCTTCTGCATCTGTGTTGTGTTAACAAATTTTATACACGCACTCGAGTTGTGTGGAAGGAAATTTTTATTTGGCTTGTGGAAAATAAGTTAAGACGTGCGTGGTTCGAACAGTTCAGCGATTAATAATTTCACCATTAATTACGCCGTTGAACCTTGATTAGCGAACGCCACAAATATTGTCCTGGTATTAAATAATCCTAGCTACTCTCACCGTGCGCTGGTAAGTACTAGAAGGCTTATGTTGTACATGGTCATCTCAGCGCAATCACTGCTAATCGTAGTCCTAATCTTGCGTTCGTTATCTATGACAGAAGAATGCCCATTATTATTATCTTTGACCTAGTTATTTATTTAAACTTCACGTTGCTATAAGCATTACGGATGACACAAACATAAAAAGCACGATTTTACACTGTAAATTTTACTTTCTAGATATGCCTACATAGTGTGTGAGTGGCCTCAATTATCACATTTTTTTGCTTTGATGAAATTTTGGACAAAATGTTTGAAAGCTTACAAAAATGATTGCAGAATAAAGAAAAGTTATAAAAATGTTCGTTCATTCATTTTATTATAGATAAATGTCCGGATATCGTATCGGTAGACGGAATAGTCAATCGTTTTCAGAGTTTCTTCGGTATAGCAACCTACTTACAAATTCATTTAAAATTCGAAAAGCTGCCATGGTAAATGAAGGCCAAACCAACTTCCACTTGAAATGTGGTAGGTATTCAGCAAAGATTCTGTTTGAAAAAGAACTTATTTCTGTATAATCGCTAATCGCTTCTGTATAATCGTACGGTTGAGGTTTACTTTCGTTGTAACTATTCATGTTTATGTTTCCTACAGCCATTTACGATGAAAACACACATTGTCCGAAATGCGTTATTTTAAATGGTGGAAATATCTTTCATCAATTAAGATCTGTTGAATAAACATTATATCTTTCAAATTAACTAACGTCAACACTCAAGATTCATGACTTGAATACTCAAAATAAACTTGATTTAGCTCATCCATAAGCTAGTTGAGTGATGAATAGTGCTGATACAGTAGCGGTTATCTGGTACAGGGAACTGCAACAAGCCTGAGTGATGAGTAGTGCTGGTACAGTAGCGGTTATCTGGTACAGGGAACTGCAACTGCCAAAGTTCTTGCGATGGAGCCGAAGAATTGCCAGTGACTCGTGGTGGCCAGCGGTGCGAGGACGAGTATGTTGCTGCCGTGACTGCCCTGCCAGCAGCACAGCAGCAGCAGCGTCACCAGCTGCACCTTCTGCATCTGTGTTGTGTTAACAAGTTTTATACATGCACTCGAGTTGTGTGGAAGGAAATTTTTATTTGGCTTGGTGAATATAAGTTAAGATGTGCGTGGTTCGAACAGTTCAGCGATTAATAATTTCACCGTTAATTAGGCCGTTGAACCTTGATTAACGAACGCCACAAATATTGCCCAGGTATTATATCATCCTAGCTACTCTCACCGTGCGCTGGTAAGTACTAGATTCTAGAAGGCTTATGTTGTACATGGTCATCTCAGCGCTATCACTGCTAATCGGAGTCCTAATCTTGCGTTCGTTATCTACGACAGAAGAATGCCCATTGTTATTATCTTTGACATAGTTATTTATTTAAACTTCGCGTTACTATAAGCATTACGGATGACACAAACATAAAAAGCACGATTTTACACTGTAAATGTTACTTTCTAGATATGTCTAGTGTGTGAGTGGCCTCAATTATCACAATTTTTGCTTTGATGAAATTTTGGAAAAAATGTTTGAAAGCTTATAAAAATGATTGCACAATAAAAAAAGTTATCGAAATGTTCGTTCATGCTTTTTATTATGTAGAAATGTTCATTAAATTGTTATAGATGACTGGAGAAATAAAATATACTTCATGAATTGGATGCACAAATGTTCGGGCAAAATACCTAAGTATTTACCGATATTTTAATTACTGTGCCCCAGTTTCGGGTTGTATCAGTGTGCCGATATATCAGTGTGTTCAGTTGCATATCAGTGTCCGCATGTGTAAATGTGTGCCCCGTGTATTAATACGTGAGTGTTCGCCACAGTCCAAGCGTCTCGGTGAGCAGCGATGTCACAGCGTCCTCGTATCCTCTGCTTGCATATCAGTGTCCGCATGTGTAAATGTGTGCACCCGTGTATTAATACGTGAGTTCTTCACAGTCCAAGCGTCACGGTGAGCAGCGATGTCACAGCGTCCTCGTATCCTCTGCTCCCACGGCCCCGGACGCGGTGCGTGCACCGGCAGGCGACACCGCGCCTGCCGCTGAATCGCTCCTCAATTCCGCACGCACCTTTGCCGCATCCAGTAGCGTCGCTCGCACCATTTCCTTGATAAATATAAGGTTGTCCATATCTTTTTACTGTACGTTGTTCTACTGACTTGCGGAAATATTGCATTGCAAAACTAACAAGTGATCACAAAATTGGGAAGTGAAATTATCAATTAAGTGATCGTCACGAGTATTTGGCAATGGGCAATTACATGAGGCTTTTCAGCTTTTCTTGCATGGCACTGTCTCAAGAACCAATCCCAAAAAGCAGCGATAGTGAGAGAGGATAGAATTTTTTTTGCCCAGTTTTACAGAATACTACAGAATTTCTCAATTGCCTTGCAGGATATGCAAATATCTGATCAATTGGGGGATTCGAAAAAGTGACCGATCACGATCCAAGTTATCGCCTAATAGATCAGATAATGGCACACGCATCATAAAACCCAAAAATATGATTTGACCTACAAATATTTTAGCATTAATTGTCCACGACTGATATAAAAAAATACAAATAATCTCTAGTCCAGCGATGCTCTGTTTCATGTTTAATATTGACCTACAAATTTATAGTTTTAATTTGACAAATAGGATCAGTTCATTCATGTCATATTATTATTTTAGAAAAGGATTTTGTAAATAAAACGCTCAAAAATGTTTCCTGTTTCAAGAACAAGTCGAACCTAGCGCCATCCCATGCCCTCAAATATATACCTTAAATAGATGAAGAGTTAAGGTATATATGGGAATGACGCCATAGGGAAAGGTATATGGGAAAAATGACGCCACATTATCAGCGTCATGAAGAAGACTATAATACACTATATATAGAGATACTTTTATAAAAGAACAGGAACCTTAGTTATTGTCAACACACACAACTTTTTTTTGGTATTTTCATAAATTCCGTTGATTTCCATTGAAACAAGCGCCTAATATTCTTAGCACAAACAGAACGCATTACACGAACATGAAAGCTTTTAATGCACCCCTGATACACGAAATAATTTTTCATGACGGAAACAATTTCTCCGCGATTGATCATCAATTTAGATAAGCATGTGGAACCGAAGTTATACAACGCTGCATGAATATTGAATTTTGAAGAACGCCAGAACTTATGAGCAGAAAATCTAGTTATAACCATTCATTTGTTAATTGTAACTTATTGCCGATTCTTCTTCTCGATTCGAAAACAAAAAAAAAGCCGATCACCGGCGACCGACTATGAGCCACCCATGAATCGCATATTGCCTACAATAACAGTACACATACGTATAGAACTGACTGACAGCCACCCATGAATCACAGTGTCTGCAGTAACACTACAGTACAGTCCAACGCAAAACACGATAGGTATATTGCCGACTGACAGCCACCCATGAATCACAGTGTCTGCTGTAACACTACAGTACAATGAAAATTGTGATGAAGGTTTGTATCGCGTTCCGTGTTTCAAGGCTTATAAGGCTCATACTAACCTAACCTTGGGCTCATATTTCCTTATCGCCTCATCCACCGCCAGCATCAAAATAGGAGATGACGGCAGACCTGGAACCACATACAAGGAATGATCACTTAAGATATTTTAGATGAAAGAAACTTTTCATGCTAAAGATTTGTACGTGAAATTAGTTATTATATTTTGTGCCGCATATTCAGTTTCTCTATCGATCTTGAATTTATTAACAAAGAGGCAGCGTTTTCTGATAAGATGTAATATTTTCTTCATACTATCACCGTATTCCTAGTGTGTTTCCATATAAGATACGTGTATATAAACAATGAATATATAAGAGACAATAAACAATCAAATCATTCCGCGTTCGGAAATTGACAGCTAGTTAAATAGTATTGTGAACAATATAATTAGACATAAATTGTCAGAGCTCATTTCCTAAACAAAAATTTTTGCAGGAACGTCCTTCAGTTGAACACAAAACTTTACTGAATTGAATACTTTGCCATGAAAAGAGCAAAGGGAATGAGTTCCATTTCTCGCTAATTGGAAACTAAATTCAACAATTGTTTGGTCGCGGTCATGCAACCCTCTTCCTGCGGAGGCAGCATCGTTTAAATATTGTTTTTGGTCATATGCCTCCTTACTACACCCCATGTGGGCGAGTGTTAAATTCACACGAGATTGATTGATATTTATCGTCATGATATTCCTCAATTTCACAAAGCTAACTATAAATGTAAGAAATGCCTGCAATATATGAAATAAATAAACGATAATGATATACAAGAATGTAAATATTTTTTCTATTGTAGAGTGGATTTGTTTTAGTTAGGTTATAATATAATTGATGGGGTTCTACCGCGAGTAAGGGTTACAATCTAATTACAATCTAATTAAATGTCAATGTAATTACATAATTACTTAACTACAAAATAGAAATTATTAATGCAGGGTAGCTGAAAAAATATTGGCATTTTAATGTCTCATTGTAACGTAATGAATGTCATCTTTAAACACACTACTAATAAATTACTGACTAAATTACATTAGCGTCTTAAAGTAAACAGCTCATTTTCGGCATTAATATTATTTTCCCGGATCATTTACCAAAGAACAATTTGGATTGTTTTTGACATGCTACGAAATAATTTGAATATGGGCTAATATTTTGAAGGTAAAGTTTAATATTCTGACAGTGGAAGATATCTGTAGTTGAACATGGCCACGCTGAAGAGGGAGCTGATGGAGTTGACAAATCGTTCAATGAAGCTCATGGGGAGACCCTTCATGGGTACGAACGAAGGGAAGTCTACGTTACCGACCACCTCATGAAGGTACATGAACATGACGTTGGGACTCATGATAATTACTGGTACCTGAAGTATAGAACATGAAGGTACGTGAACATGACGTTGGGGCTCATGATAATTACTGGTACCTGAAGTATAGAACATGAAGGTACGTGAACATGACGTTGGGNGCCTGAGTGATGAGTAGTGCTGGTACAGTAGCTGTTATCTGGTACAGGGAACTGCAACAAGCCTGAGTGATGAGTAGTGCTGGTACAGTAGCTGTTATCTGGTACAGGGAACTGCAACAAGCCTGAGTGATGAGTAGTGCTGGTACAGTAGCTGTTATCTGGTACAGGGAACTGCAACAAGCCTGAGTGATGAGTAGTGCTGGTACAGTAGCTGTTATCTGGTACAGGGAACTGCAACAAGCCTGAGTGATGAGTAGTGCTGGTACAGTAGCTGTTATCTGGTACAGGGAACTGCAACAAGCCTGAGTGATGAGTAGTGCTGGTACAGTAGCTGTTATCTGGTACAGGGAACTGCAACAAGCCTGAGTGATGAGTAGTGCTGGTACAGTAGCTGTTATCTGGTACAGGGAACTGCAACAAGCCTGAGTGATGAGTAGTGCTGGTACAGTAGCTGTTATCTGGTACAGGGAACTGCAACAAGCCTGAGTGATGAGTAGTGCTGGTACAGTAGCTGTTATCTGGTACAGGTAACTGCAACAAGCCTGAGTGATGAGTAGTGCTGGTACAGTAGCTGTTATCTGGTACAGGGAACTGCAACAAGCCTGAGTGACGAGTAGTGCTGGTACAGTAGCTGTTATCTGGTACAGGGAACTGCAACAAGCTGCTGGACAGCGGTTCGGTCACCGACCACCAGGACGACTGCAAGAGCTGCTACGGCCGCCTCTTCGGACCCAAGGGATAAGGCTACGGCGTCGGCGCTGGCGTCCTCTCCATGGATGTCGGCACTAAGTATCAGATTATTACATATACATAATAAAAAATTGAAAAATAACATTACATTTTTACAGATTCTTAGAATTTATATATACATCTATTCAGGTATACACGTTAATTTTTGTTTGATTTTTTGCGCTCTTGAAATTATTTAGTCTGCAAAATTGGATTGCACGTCTATCAGTTGCCTGGGAGGCCATCTATGTCAGACTGTCTGAGCTCAGTGATGTTCTAATCGTAAAACCATCTAATGTGTTGGTTCTATGCACCTACACGAGTCGCTTTTTACTACTGTGACACCTAAATAATTATTGAAAGTTTAGGCGTTGCACATTCTCTATAGCTCGAGCATAATCCTGGACGCGATCGACTAGTGTAGATATGACAGCGCGGTCGAGTTGGGCGCCATGCTTGTCGTCGCTAATGTCATGAGACAGATTTGTCAAGTATAAAATGAATTGTACATTTCAGTTACTGAAAATACAATAATCAAAATATATCACTTCACATACTAAGCCGGATGTTAACATTATAGTCAAATAAATGTGGTGCATCTTTTAGGCGTAAGGGACATAACTAACGATAAATCGGAGCGTGCCATGTTTGGCTGAAGCTGAGCGCGTGATCTTACGAATGCCTTAACCTAAACACGTAAAATGGTCCAGACGACCGTCACTTGTTCGCCCTCGGCTTCTTCATTTGCAGTAAAGTAAACTACTTATCTTCGGGCACGTAGTCATTCCATTAGGCAATTCAGGCCATTGATAGATTTCTTTTGTCACTCCTATATGTTATTCTGAGCTGTGTAGCTGTTTGTGATGGAAAATACCTCACAAATAAATCACGTCTCACTTTTGCTATAACTACTATAATAATAAAAGTATATAAAACAGAGAAATTATTTGCGAAATTAATTATCATTATTTGAATAGAACGGTCCGCCGCGCAGCAACCTTCCGTCCACACTGGAGGCCTACATCGCACAGCTCAAGAACCACGTGAGCAGCTCGGCTACCACCACCACCATCATCACCGATGACAGCACCACCAACAACAATACCACAATCATCACACGCGAGACCTTCATCACCAAGAGCGGCTCTGCCAACAACATCACCAACAACAACTACAACGTCAACATCAACAAGACTGTGAGCACCATCAACCAGGCCAACCGTCCCCTCATCACCAACGTCCCCAAAACCACATCCAAGTGGGGTGGAGGAACATATTCCTGCACCCGCTGCTGTGAGTCTTGCATCTCAATGATGTGTGTGTCATGTGGTATCATGTGCTATAATTTTTAGTCGTGCTGGGAGCAGACAAGTCAGTATCAGACTGTTTAGTCAAAATAACGAAAATTATGTCCGCCATTACGCGCAAAGAGAACAGTTTTCCCTCCATCTTGATCTACTTATTGCATGATTATTAATGCTTTGATTTAGTACTGTAATGTATTAAGTGATGGAGTAATGCGTTGTACGAATGAGTGTGTTGCTATGTGTTTGCATCAGTGAACAACGCGGAGCACAAGAGTGGGAAGCCAGAGATGAGTTTGTTAGAGCGTCGGGCAACAAGTCTGACCCGCGGGCGCCTCGGTCTGGCTCGAATCCTAATTTACAATTCAGGTATTCTAAAAGAGCTCGGGGCAATGCATCGCCGTCAGTAAAACTTTTATTATACATATAAACAAATAGACTTTTTCGATAGGCAGTTACCAGGCCGTGCAACTTATCGCTATGTCTAGGCATGAGCTTTGTTACCGTGCCTCTTGTCCCTTACACTCTTACATACCGTGTGGTATTATTTTAAACTGTTGGCAGTGAGTGTTCAATCTGTTCATGTCATGTTGTGTGCAGGCAAGGCAGTGTTCATGTCATGTTGTGTGCAGGCAAGGCAGTGTTCATGGCATGTTGTGTGCAGGCAAGGCAGTGTTCATGTTGTGTGCAGGCAAGGCAGTGTTCATGGCAGAGCGGGTGATGGCCGCGGGGGGTGCGTGGCACAAAGCTTGCTTCACTTGTCAGGAGTGCAACAAGAGACTTGACTCCCACAGCATCAGGGAGCACGAGCGCAACATTTACTGCAACCGTGAGTCCCTGCATCGTCGTATGCAACATTAGCGTTACCATAGTGGAGTGAGCGAGAACGTGTTCACGTTCAATGTATTTTCGAATGTAACACTGCGGCTCGCATAATGCGATTCCTCCTAAAATAATTCAGTAAAACAGCGCCAATGCGTATCAATTAATGTGTTTGTATGATTTTTCTATAATTGTTTTCTTCCTATTTGCTAGTTTCCCATCAGGTTAAAGTTTCCAAGATTAACCTGCGTAATTTTCTTCATGTTATCTGCTCACTAATAATTGGATGTAATTTTGCAGCGTGCTACGGCAAGAACTTCGGGCCCAAGGGCTACATGAGCTGGGGCCATACTTTCAAAACTCGCTAAGTGAGCGTAAGTACTTACGCTCTATTTTCTTGTCTATGATTGGTGGATTTTGCTTGAAAGGCCGTCAATGATTGGCTAATGGACTAACGATCTCTCAACTTTTTTTGAAAGTATAGGCCCTGGTCTGCTGCGAAGGTCTCATAAGAACTGGCACTTCGTGCGTGCATCGAGGACGTCTGGATGCTCGATGTCTTATTGATGTCCCTGTCTATCCTGGCACCCCAAATTGTCTGAAGTTTTCTACAATATATCGCAAGATTTAATTTAGATTTCGAAAATTCAAAATTAAGATTCATTCACTATTTTAGAGAATTGTGTAACTTTATGTGTGTTTGTATTAAGCACCAATTTATCGAAATTTTCATTATGTTATCCTGCATTGTTACGGATACCTGATTGCTATATTTCCTTAGGACAATGAAATTATGCGTGTCTTTAACAAGTTTTTTGTTGGTGATTAATTGTGTACAGTTTCTACCGATAATCGTTGTTCAAGCGAGCGATGATGTGTGCCTTATAAATATTACTTGTCACGCGTGCAGTCTTATATTGCGGGCAGACCGCAGGCCTCGTGGAGCTCTCAGCAAGCACAATTCTGTCATTAACGATGCTCCCAAGTTCATCTTCAATCAAACATTACCGCAAATATTTTTCTCTGTGCCCCAAAAATTCCGTTGAGACTGGACGAAGTTTCAAAATTTAATTAATAATCTTTTGACAATCAGAATAATAATATAATTTCATTTTGAGACTAGTGAATAATAATATAATAATCAGAAGTTTTCTTTCTGTCATTATCACCCAGAAAATAACCACCTTCTTGCGAAATGTACAACAACATTGGCTTTAAAAACTATAGTACGCAGTTGCACGTGCCCTGATGCCTCTCCTTCATAGTACAAGTTTACCGCGCATCTGACGCAGCTTTTTGACCAGCGTGTTGTGTCTGACGCTGAGGATTCTTGCTTCAGCCGTCATTTCAATAGTTTTATTTTATTTAGTAAGTTACATGGAATTTTTTCTCTTTGATGTATCTGTTATTATTTCAGCAATTTTTCATAATTTTTGTAAAAATTTACGTTGGAAAGGTCCAAGTTTTTGGTAATGGAAGTGTAATTTGCTTCACGTTTCAAAGATGAGAGGACAATGGTCTTTATTTTTCCAGTTCATATGTACCCAGCCGACGTTTAGCTGATCGATCTCTTAGCTAGAAGATCACTTGTACCGCAAACTGACGTCGATCCTCCTAACCAAGATTCTCCATTCACACGCCAAGTTTGTTTACACGTGAAGTCAGCCTAAGAATATAGTATTATAATCTCAGTGTAGCTATAACTTAAGAGTTGATGTGTTTTCATTGCCCTAATTTTCGTAGCCGGCATCTCAAGTTCTTGGTAATGTAGCCGTTTATGTTTACAAAATACTAACCCTTATCATAAGCACGACGCTTTAGGTCATAACTATAACGAGTTTCCTTATTGTCTAAAGGTGTTGTAGTCAGCGGATTGTTATTAACTAGTTATCCTGCTAGGAAATTACTATCACATCTGCACGAAAGGATGCTGCAGAGTGCTTGATGTTTTATTTAGCGCCCAGCTAAAAAGTTCCTAGTTAAGCTCGAAAAATCAAAGGCTTGTCTTTTGTTCGAGTTCTCTACTTTACTTGAACAATAATCGCCACTTGAAGAGAGTTTAAACTCCCAAAAGTATGGATATTTTAAATTATTCAGCTCTGCATTTGGTTTTTTTGTTGTCTTAGGCCATCGGAAGGCTCTAAAATGTTACAACTTGAGCTCTAATACTGCAATCAGATCAGGCGGGGTCAGACAATGGGTATTTTTTTAGATTTCCAAACGAATTTGAATCAAGAAAAGCCTATTAATAATATGTAATTCACTTATTTCACTGTTTAGCAGAATTTTCATAAAAAATGAGTCTTTGTCAAGCGTTATCGGCCTATAAATAATGTTTGTCACGAGTCAGGTCTGGTTGAATGTCAAAGAGTTTCAGCCTTCTTCTTTTCTAAACGTTCTCTAAGAAAGTTGGTTGATAGGAACCCGTTTCACCGCTAATCCGGTACAGTTACATCAACCTAAAACTTGAATGAATTCATTTCATTGTTTTTGGCGTGTGTTGAACGCATAAACACTATTTTTAGATGAACATTCACGTTCAACAAAACGCATAGATAATATTATTAGAAACAGATTCACGTACAGCACTGTCACCTACATGCCAGTATTTCTTAGCATAGTTTAGCCAGTTTTCGTTAATTGGCTATTTCTGAAGTGACTGTGCCTTTACATGTAAGAATATATTCTTCTATTGTTAGAAGTGCATAAATATATCTTATCCCCTTCGATGCTTATCTGATAAGTTACTTCAGGACTAAAATACATGGAAATATAATATTTCATTTCGTAAAACTAATATCTGATTCGCCACCCATATATATCTGAGTAATAAGAAGAATTGTCAGAACAGTCGTGCCCTCAACGACGGTATAAATGACCCGCGTGGCAATATCTACAAAAGTTCATTGCTAAATTCCATTTATGCATTCGTGAATTATTACACTGTGCAAATGAATGGTAATATTCTTCAAGTTTTCTTCTAGTTGACGGCTTTTTCGTTGGTTACGCGAGTTTCAGCAGATCAAAAGAAAATCAGTGAGGAAAGCCATCGCTTCCTTCAGGCCGGGTTCGGCGGGTGGCCCGGACGGGCTCCGCCCGGGTCATCTGGTGGCCCTGATTTCGCGGAAGGCGGGTGAGGCGGGCGCGAGGCTGCTGGCCTCCCTTACCGGGTTCGTCAACCTGGTGATTGGAGGGCGGGTTCCTGAGTTTGCAAGACCGGTGTTCTATGGAGCCACTCTGTGCGCCCTACGGAAAAAAGACGGGGGTATTCGCCCCGTAGCGGTTGGGAACACCTTGCGTCG